GTTTGAATACAAGAAGGGAAACAACGCCTCTGTAGCCACAAAGAATATCAAAGAAGTTTATGTAAATGTTTTGAACGTTCGTAAGTGTCAACGATGGTTCAGCAAATTTCGTTCAGGTGGCTAACCTTAAAAACTGTGATGGCAGGGGCCGACATGCTGGAATTGATAATGATGCTCTGAAGACGCTTGTTGAGTCTAACCCAATGCACCACACTCGTGAAATGGCCCTGAAATTGCATGTCTCTCATGAAACAATACGTAAACATCTAAGAAATTTGGAAAAACATCTTAAAGAAGGTGTGTGGGTGCCTCACGAACTCTCCGATGATCATCGTTTCCAATGTATGAACGCTGCTTTGTCTCTTCTGGCGCGTAATGCTCGTGAACCATTTTTGGACAGAGTTGTCACCGTTGTTGAAAATGGATTCTCTATGCGAATATTAAACGCCAAAAACAATGGCTCAGTCCTAAACAAAAACCACTTTCGACCCCAAAACCTGGACTACATTTGCAGAATCTTATGCTTTGCATTTGGTAGGACATGAAAGGAGTAATTCATTTCGAACTCCTCAATCCGCAACGAACTGTCAATGCATAGATCTATAGTCAGCAACTGGAACATTTAAATCAAGCCCTTCACTCGTCAGTCGGAAGGGTGTTCTTCTCTGCGACAATGCACGTCCACACGTGGCATGTTTGACGCAACACAACATTATGGAGTTGGGTTGGGAAATTCTCCCCCAACTACCATATTCTCCAGATATGGCACCATCGTATTACCATCTTTTTCGTTCTCTGCAACACCATCTTCATGTGAAAACGTATGCAAATGTGGAAGGTGTTAAAGAGGACATCGACATGGTTTTTGCTTCAAAGGCAAGTTGTTTCTTTAATCAGGGCATTAACAACCTGATTATAAGATCGACAAGAACGAAGATTATTTCATTTAACAAATGTTTTGTTTTAATACACAAGTTGTTCGGGTTTTTCATCTAAAAAAAGCGACATTAATTTCTTGACTACCTAATATCTAGTTGTTTTAAATTTTATTTATTGATATTTCTTATTGTTAACTTAGACTTTTCTATCCAATGTTATGCTTTTTGTACATGTAAAGTCCCACTGTGTGACTGTATACTAAATGTGTTTGTTTCACATTGTCTTGTGTGTCATTTCATCGGGTGTTGTCAAGACTTAAAGTTGTGATTGTGTTACATCAAGCTAAGGTAACAAATTAACTTGTAGTAATACTTAAACTTAGGGGGTGAAAAAAAGCTGAAAAATAAAGGACAAATAAAGATAAATGTTCCCATGACTAGGAATATGAGTACATATCTTTATTTGCGCAAGTTTTCAAAATCTAATTTCGGATTTTCTTTATTTAGTTTCAGTTTTCAGACAAATGGAGTACAGTGAATATTAAACTGATTGTCTCCCCATATTTGTAGGTGTAAGATTACAACTTGTCTATCCTGGTTCTGTATGCTCAGTAACTCCTAGAGCAGGACTCAGTGGAATAGCTAGCTTGCTGGTCACGTACATGGATAGAGAAGTAGGCAACTCTGGTTTTCCTCTTTCATGGGGGTTGCCTGTTCACACATGTATAACCTTTTTCAAAGTTCCGAGAGAAATTATGATTGTTTATAATCATAAATAAAGTTAGTTGTCTCAGACACTGCCCAACAATTTATTGAGTACAGTCGTCTTAGGTTTGTGTCTCGCGATTGTCCTGTGTAGAATATCATTTACAACTGCTTCGGCAATTACCACAGAGTAGCTGACTTTTAAATAAAATATCCTTGTCATGTTTATTAAAACTTTTTAAATGAAATAAGTATGTCAGTTATTGCGAAGTTGAATTTTACTCGTTATAGCCAAGTATACCTTGAATTTCCGTAGCACGTCTTGCACATACAAGGTTTTATGTTTAGAATATGTATATATCAATTTTTGATATAATGGTATAACTGGTACAGTTTATGGTTAAAGTTGTAATACCTTTATCTATGAAAGTTTAATGCGCTGTTTTCATAGATATAGGTTTGTTTCTAATGTTACCACAAAATGCGCAAAAACACCATATGGACTCGTAATACATCGGTATTTTACTGAAGTTTCTATTGCAATTTAACATTTTTATGTTACGTAAATGAGTAGTAAATAGTTGAAAACAATGAGAATTATGTTAACTCGAAGTTGTTGCTGATATATACACTATCTTACCAAAAGTCATGGGACACACCTCTGATTGCAGGAAAATTGGTGTGACGACGAAATATGTATTTGACCTACAAGATGAACAGCGGTTCGCTTGGAAGTCATTTCGAACTTGTATGCCGAACGATGAGTACACGGAAAGAGCTAACAGACGGGAAGGATAGTTGGATGTTATTTGGAGAAAATATCTGTACGTGCTATTGCGCAATAATTAAACATTCTTAGGCCAACAATTGGCAATATGCTGAAGAAATGGAAGTCCACAGGTAGCAATGAGCCCAAGAAACGACCAGGTAGGCATAAAATACTGACTGAATGGAGCCAACTCGCTTTGAGAAGGCTGGTTACCTCATCTCGCCGTCAAACCCTAGAGAATCTGTGTTTGGAGATGCGAGCAGCCACAACCAATTCTATAAGTGTTTCTACGAAACGTTGAGAGCTGCAGCCCATAAGCCATTGATAACAAAAACAAGTGCACACCATCGATTGGCATGGGGACAAGGCACACAGAACCTGGACTGTGGATCAATGGAAATCAGTCCTGTGGAGCGACGAATCACGCTGCATACTCTTCCACTTTGATGAACGTGTTTGGGTATGGAGGATGCCTGGAGAACACTTATTACCTTAGTGTATTGTCCCAACAGTGAAGTTTGGAGGTGGCGGTTTCATGGTCTAGGGGGTGCTTCTCGTGGTATGGACTTGGTCCACTAGTCGCAATGCATGGATCCATGAATGCCGAGTCCTACATTGATGTTCTGAACAATTCTTTATGTCCTACATTGTGGCAATTTAATGTTACCTGCCCTTACACCTTCCAACATGATAATACTCCATGTCACAAACCGCAGATTGTGTGGTTTGAATAGAATGACAATGGAACATTGCAGTGGCCAGCACAGAACCCTGACCTCAAACTGATAGAATATATTTGGGATGAAATGGATCGCAGAATTAGGACAAGGTCAAGATGGCCGTCTTCAGTAGTGTAGTTTATTAATGCTTTAAACGAGAAGTGGAGCACAATGCCACAATCTTTCTACCGTAAATTAGTAGACAATCTTCCACGACGCATTGAAGTAGTAATTAAGGGCAAATACGGGCCAACACGCTATTAATTTCTTGGAATAAAGACATGTTTTATTCAGAACAACCCGTGTCCCATGACTTTTTGTAGGATAGTGTACAAAAAGAAGCAAGTATCGATTAATTAGTTTATTGACCACTACTTTTCAAAACGGTTGAATTGTTAGCCTAAATGTTTCTATAAAGTATTTTTACATTTCATCTACAAGAGCGATTTGCAAGTAAGGTATCGATATTGTATTTATTTCACCCAGAATAAAATCGGTTATTTTCTCCAAAACCTGGATAAATGCTGTGTTTGTTAAGGTGTATAAACAATTGTGATAAGAGATCTTCTGGTTGTTAGCTATGGGTACCATTAACGCGCTAGCTGTGATGAAAGATAATCTTTCAGTCATAACAAACAAAGATCTTGTAAAACACGTCGTAAGGATTCTGGAAGTTGGTCTCGGCGCCAGACTGTAACGTGAAACTATAACAACCGGTTGAAAAGATGACATCCAGTGACCTTGTTCTTGCTTAGTGGAAGATCCTGTTCTATTTGTTGTTTATTATTAGTTCAGATATGCAAGATACTTAACAGCCAGTCCGCGAACAGCTTAAAAATAGCAAAGTATCTGAATTACCAAACGGTTAAAAAAATGTTTTGTTAAAAAACCAACAAAAAATATAGCTGTAGGATTTATTTTGCACTTTTTAGTAGCTTTTTGCGTATCTTTTTTTTTTTCGCGCTTTCTTAAACAACCAATATGATCTTTGTAGTCGTAGTTTTTGTAAGATAAAGCCGCAGGAGAGCTTGGCGGTAATATCTGGAGCTTATAACGCATCTGTCACATCACAGATAACCTATGCTGTAACTTTGCGTTAAAACTGTTCGAATGAAATGAAATAAATCAACGATTTTAACTAGAGTTTTTATCACATCAGTAGGTTTTGTAGATATGCGAGGAAAACGAACACTATATCCTAAACCAATATTATGACCAGCTGAAATTTGGAGCATGTGTCCTAACTAGATAATAATATAGAATACCATTCCCAGTTACTGAAAACTGATTTGGTGTGTTTCAGTCCTAGCTAGATAATAATATAAATACTATTCCAAGTTGCTGGGAACTGATTTAGTGTGTTTCCATTGATAGATTCACCTAAGAACCTAATTTATATCCAGTGAAAGAAAATGAACTGTTTTTTAATCAAAATAAAAATAATAAACATAACAAAACTGCAGATTCAAGCAATACCGGCTGAGCAAGGTTAATAGCTCAAGCAATACCGGCTGAGCAAGGTTAATAGCACGAAATACTACACAGTGTGGTATTATGTAAGCTTTTGTGTGAAGAACTTGACCTGAGCTAAAGTTAACAGTTTTTTTATGAAGCCTATTTTCTGATATGAGCTGTTCTTTCCCTTGTCTGAAAATATTAGTAACTGAATTTTGAGGGGGACAAGTGCGTCGTAAAATTATGGCAATAAAATCTTACTGTGCTAATAGCGCTGAAATCTTTTTAATCGAAATATGTAAAATAAGAAAGCCTTGGCTCTTAAATCTGCCATTTACGCAAATATTTCTTATGCCTGAAAATAATATTTTTTTTCGTGCAAGTTACAAAATTATTTGCTGTTTAGCCTCTTCGTGAAGATTGAATTAACCGACTGAACTTCTTTTTTGAAATGAACATTAGATTACAATAACTAGTAATACCATTGGCGCCGATCTCAACTTCAAGGTGATGAGGGGAGACCATTTAAAAAAAAAAAATATTGCATACCGTCATTAATTATTCATAAAAAAGGTTAATTGTGATCATTATTCTTTAATTGCACCTTATCATTTGCAAAAAGATAATCGTATAATTGTTGTAATTGTAATAATGATGATAATAATGTCTCAAGTTATTGTTATAGAAAAAGAGATAATGGACTCACTTTAATATTTTCCAAATAGGTTATTCCTAATGTGACTTGTGGAACAGAACGTTTTACCAATATAGTGTTATAAAGTAATAAGAATTAGGTTGCTAATTAGAACAGTAACTTTTCACTTTCTAAAGATAAAAGTAAAACGAGTTCTCTGGTTTTAATCCACTCAAAGGTCTATGATGCATTTAATTTATCTTTAGACTAGTTGAGACAAACTTACCACTTACTTTCTTTAGACTTTAACAAGGGTGTCTTTTTCAGCTGGTCTTTAACAAATAAGTAAACTAGATGTTTTCAGCATTTTTAAAGCAGTAACTTTTAACTGTTTTGTTTAAAAACATATTCGTACTCATTTACTGGAATCGCCTCCACCACTTCTATTTTATGTGTTTTTAAGACGCGATGACTTATGGGTTTAAATAATAAAATATCTTTTGGAAAGTGTACACCGCTTGTACATTTCCTCTAAAGGTACAATTAGAGTGCATCAAAGCGCACTTCACATGCTCCCTAAAGCATTGGAACACCCTAAGTGATAGCCATCAACCAGAGTAGTGCACTACACTTCACATAGGGTGCGATTTGGGGTACAGCCTTGAAAACCGTTACGAGACGAGAGTGAAACCGAAAGCAAAACCTAGCAGGTCACGTTTAGAGTTTCAAGTTTCCGAAACGGGGGACCATTACAGTCCATTCCAACACACACACACACAGAGATTGTGGAATATATATGTGTTTAAAGTGTGTGAAACATATAACGTCCTCCCAACTGCTGAAGGTACAGGGAATCTATCTTCCCAGGATTGGTCCTATGAGTAATACATTGAAAACTAGCATCACGTGGTACCATCATACATGGATACTGTCATGCAAGAACAGAATGAAGAATAAAGTGAATGCTACATTTGTTTCCTTAGCTTACAAATTCAAGTGGCCTGGCGTTGTCTGATGATTAGGAAACTCAACTAGCAATCTGTGGGTCGCGAGATCGAAATCCGTCACCAAACATGCCGCCCCTTTTAGCTGTGGAAAGTTTAATGTGACGGCGAATCCCACTATTCTTTAGTAAATCATAGCTCAATAGTTTGCATTGGGTGATGTTGACTTGCTGCCTTCATTCTTTGGGCAAAATTCAACAAAACAAACACATACCCCAAAACAAGGTAACCTACTGCTAGATAACTTACAACTGTAGATCTTCATCTGCTTTTGTATTCAAAAGGGATATTTTATGTTCACACGTGACGAAACTGTTTCTGAAAGTATGAATGTATGCACAACCATACTAAGAGAACTCGCATCGTGCATAATACTTGGGAATTTATCCATGGATTTTGCCACGGAATAGGGTCCGAGTGCGTGTAACATATATCATTGTCATAGAGGAATGAAAAAGTCCAAATGGAATCCGATCTTCCCTGGTCAAACATGACCCAAATTACGATCAAGAAAAATAAAAAATCAAGGCATATGATCATTCTTTTCTTTAAAGAGTGAGCAGAAATAAAGACTTTAGATGACCTGATGTGCTCTTGCAGCAAAGCTCACTCCACCTCTCGGGATTTCTATTAGAATGCGAATAGTTTTGAAAATCTTTATACAGGTATTGCATTAAGGCAACAAACACAAGGTAATAGCTTCATGCATGTAGTAATTTATTCCTACCTGTATTAACTATATAAATTGAATTATAATGGAGCATGTTTTAGTAAAAATCCTATAGGTAAACTACGCCATAGAGAAAATTTCAAGCAAAGCAATGAACAATTTAAAATATAGCTTTGGTGGATTTATTCGGTTGTTTTAAAATGTTTATGCAAACCTAACCACAATGCTTATATAGCCGACCCTAATTTTGAACTGATGGACTATATACAGATACCCATTTTTAAGTATCTGTTTGAGTGAGACTTTTGGAAAAGTAAACTTTTGGCGCGCGGGAAAATGCCGTGAGCGCAGTTTCTGCTGCAGTCCCTTAGTATATTATATAGAAAATGAATGATTTTGTATAATTCTTTAAAGACAGTTCTTTAACTAAACACTGTAACAGGCAAAAACAAAGTTACTTAATACATACAGTATGTGAATCCTACTGGTAGTGAATGGTATGTTAACCAATCGATAATTTGAGGATATCACTATCACAGTGTTCTGGTAACTTAGTTATAACTCATCATAACAAATATTTTAAATAGACACGCAAGAAATGAAGAATACAACAGTAAGATACATTTGGGTCATTGTAAAAATTGATTTCTCATTTCATAACTTTTGTTAAAGTGAGCATTTCTTAAATACAAGTTACAATTTTCTTTCAGTTCTCTTGCTGGATTGATGGTGTGATTTGCGTGTTCAGTTTGGAAAATGAAGCCTCATTCAATGATGTCTTTGATTACTACAAAAAAATATGTTTGTTCCGGAACTCTCGGGACTTTCCCCTAATATTAGTTGGAGTTCAAGGTATAGTTACTAGATTGTTTAATATTCAATATTTACATGTTTGCACACATATTGTTATATTTAACACCAGTTACATTTAAACTTGACAAAAGTAGGACATAACCATGATAAAGACCTGTAAGTTGTATGGTATTAATAACCAAAATTTATACAGAAAATTAAAGATATCAAACATGCACCTTAACAAATTCATACTGTAAGTATGAATAATTATCAAGCTGTATAGATCTATTTATGTAAAAAAATTGTTTCAACCTAACTCCTACTACTCTACTCTAGACAAAAAAGGCTATTTTTTTTCTAGAAATGGATATTTTCTCAAAAAAATATTTTTTATGAAAGTTTAAGTTTTTGTTTGTTGAAACCAGTGTACCTTAATTTACTTCAAAATTGTTTGTATTTAATTCTAACATATCTCTATCTGTGTATACTGAGGGATATCTGTAAATATATGTGAATTAGAAATTTTCACAATCAAACTTATAAGATTTAATTTAAAAGCAGTTAGATTAGTATATTTTCTTAAGCTACATTGTATCATGCATCTTGTATATTGTTATTTGAATATTTTAGGAATAAAAAAATGTTCTTGCAACTAACCTTGTAGTTTCTAATAAAAATAAAAAGGTTTTGTTTATTTTAGTAAATGCTGCTTTTGATGATAATAAAATTTATAGATATAATTTTAACAGTTTGAAAAAGATGTCTTAAGTTTTAACTGAATGTTCTGCCTATATTGATAAAGTGATCTTGTACAGAACAACTTATGTTGCGTATAATTGAAAGAAGCAACCTTGTTAGAACAAAATTTAGCACTTAGAATTTCATCTAGAACTTAAAAAAGTTTAAAGAAATAATATGAAATTTTCAAGCTTTATTGATATTAGTTTAAATCTCAACAATGTCAAATTGTAATATTGGATATTAATTTCTAAACAAATGTTTGGATTACAAAGTGAATTTATAAGACTCATTGATGTATTAACATTTACAAACAACATGCGTGCTAAGCAAAAACATAGAAATATCATTACAAAGCTTCATGTATCCAACAGCTTATAAACATAATAATAGGTGTAAAAAAAAAAAATCAATGAGACAGAAGAATGAAATTAGGTAGAGACTGTTCTTTCTGTACATTTCATGTTTGTACATTGACCATAGGTTCGAATCCCCATCACACTGAACATGCTTGCCTTTTCAGCCATGGGGTTGTTATTATGTGATTATCAATCCCACAATTCATTGGTAAAAGAGTAGTGCAACAGTTGGTGGTGTTGACTAGCTTCCTTCCCTCTAGTCTATCACTGCTAAGTTAGGGATGGCTAGTGCAGATAGCCCTCATGTAGCTTTGTGCGAATTTCAAAACCAACCAAACATAGTGGAAGTTCAAAATAAAACAAAAATAAATAATATTACTTCAGTTTCAGCATGCGTTATTTTTTTCCTGTGTACTTTTAAAGAAATTTTTGCCAAGTACACAAAATGTCCCACTTTGGAATATCTCGGGCATTTGTTTTGATTTATGCATATAGATAAATGCATAACACCATGCAAACAAGTTTATGGTGATTGATGCTAAATGTCTCTCTTAGCTATATAAATTGCCCGAAATGTTATTTCTGTATGGTATTGAGGTATCTTTCTAAATAATTTCATAGAGACATTTAAGATGTAAATTACTGGGTATTTTTAAGATCTATCAGATAATTTATGCCAACTAAAACAGATTATTATTCATTTTTTATATGCTTCATGTGCTTTATATGATGTACACACATGAAACATTATACTTGAGATGCAAATATACTAACAAGTGACAGTGTATTTCTCTTTAAATGTAGATTTTAGTAAAGCTTCTACAAATAAGTGATTATATAATGCAAAAATCATTATTTAATTCATAATAATATTTCATTTCCTTCTTTGTTACAGATATGATTAGTGAAAGTAACCCTAAAATCATCAATGATACACAAGTTCAAAAATTAGCAAATGACCTCAAATGTTGTTCTTATTATGAAACTTGTGCAACATTTGGATTGAATGTAGAAAAGGTCTTTCAAGATGGTTAGTATGACTATTTCTTAGTACAGTTTGGTTTATCAATGTTTTATATGAACAATTTTCTGTGATTATGTATCTAAATATTATGCATATAGCATATTTACTCAAACTAAAAACTCCTATTTTGGCTCCTTATTGTTACATAGAATTACATTTGGTGGAGTCAAAATAGGGATTTGTAGGTTGAATATATGTCTACAGTATCTCAGCCTTATTTCCTTACTTTTTTATGATCTCTATTTGCAAGTTTTTAACTCCCCAATTTTTTTTTATCTTGTTTCCTTGATTTTTTATGCTTAACTATGGGCAAAGGATTGTTTGATATGGTAGCTAACATTATACATTATAATGATAATAAATATAGCTAGCTCATACGGTTCATGATGATTTACTGTAGCTATTGACTACTTTATCACCTTAGTTCAAGATATAAAATGTTAAGCTGGAGATTGTCATGGAGATTTGTTTGAGAATATAGTGAGCATTTATAGTTTCTGTGCTACTAAATTATATATATATAATACATAGAAATGGGCAAAAAATATGCCTAGACTAAGACACAACCCCCCACTAAGCATGAAAAAATGTTTTACCAGTAGAAAATCAGCCTTTTCAAATAAGACGTATACATCTAAAACATTTCTTTAAATAAACGTTTTGTATCTTTTAAAGTAATTATTCGACAAATGCATGTAATAAAATCTAATATATGTATTGCTTTTTTATACTTCTTCACTTCGTACATAATATAGGATTTGGCTCCCTAAAGACACTGATTGTATAGTGTACAAAGCACCGAGTATCTATATGTTATAGTCATCTTATGTTCATCTATTATTGGCTAGTAATTCCTGTTTTACCCAGTATTTAAGCTTTTTAAAACACCATATGTTTGTAAAAAAGCTAACTTCAAGGGGTAATGATAACATCGTTTACACTAGAATTATGATGTTTTTTTAGCTTATGTAAGATATAGAAGAAACAAATTGACTTTTCAATACATTTAGGACCCTTGCAGTACCTTATTTAGTACTCTGCAAAATGATTGGGTGTAATATACCATGCCGTTTTTGTTATAGGCTGGAAAGAGAATAATAATAATAATAATAATTACAAATGAGTCATTTTGAGTGGATTTTCTTTTCCTTGTATGTTTAACATGTATGCTTTTTTGTGTATTTTTATTATATTTGTACAGCCTTAGCAGTTAACAATAAAGGTTTTACAGTGCTGTTGGAACTGAATCTTTACTGTTTAAGGTACTTTTTGCTCAAACATTTTATTAGGGTTTTGTGCAATTACTTGCAATCCCTATTATGAACCACTATCATGGTTCATGATTTTACAAAGTTCTTTGTACATGTCTTTTACTATTTTTAATTTCATGTGTAAATTAAGTCTTGTTGCAACTGAAGATTATCATAGTAGCCTGTCAAGAAAAAGTATTGTATTCATCCTTAAAAAGTGTATTTCAACATAACTCGTACTGCTTTAGTTCAGACACATACACACTCATATATATAGATGTGTGTTCATAAGATGTTTGTAGAAAACTTAGTAAAAAACTTTATGCATCTGTATTTAATCATTTTACCTTATGGATATTATATATATATATATTGTAATCGTACCTTTCGTTATAGTAGATGTAAACAGTCAATCACTATCCAGTAATTGGTCTGATTTTTTAAAAAAAAAAGTATGTTCATATACTTCCCCTACTTTTGAAAGATTATTTATTTTGGTCAACTAAGGGATTTCTTATGATTTTAAAATCTAGAAGAATCTTGTAAAAATAGATAAAAATTAATTTAAGAAGTCATCATCAAAAGAATTTCCATACCTTAAGAAATGTTTGTAATCAAGTTTTAAAAAGGAAATCCTTAGTCCAAAGACCATGCTTTATGTTTCCTCTCCCAAGACAAAAAATTAAATGTTTTGCAAGAACTCCAGTTAGAATTGAGCCTAAGTTTAGGAAACTAATAGCAACATGTAAAGAGAGAAAGTTGAAACTATGTAGTAGTAAATGATAAGGTACAGTTATGCTAGATCACACATGGTACTACTGACCTTGTACTGAGAATTAAATAGATTAATTGAAAGGAAGGTTTTATGAAGTTTCCAGATTTTTTTTATTTTGATGAATGAAATTCATAGATTTACATTTTCATCAATGTAATTTTGAGGACTATTGTTATGAAGAAGCTCTTGGATATGCAAAATAAAATGCAAATGAGGTGAAATTTTACTCATTCAAAGCATCAAATTACAGATAGTACCTTAAAGCAGAAAAAATGAATTTCTTTGAAAAAGGCTTTTAGTGACTGCTTAATTTTACTGTAAATAATCTGTCAAGGAGTTTTGATCAGAAATTAGTCTAGCTCAGATTTTCAATACATACAGAGGCTGAGTACATTATATTAAAGTGGATTGAAGCCTCGCCACATTATTACAGTCCATGTTGCCATGTTCAGTCATGCTCTATTTGCATGACAACAGTACATTACAACAGTAGCCCTGCAACTTAGTTTCCACAGCATAAGGTTGTCATGTCCAAATCACATCACTCGTTATATACTTTACATGTTAATCCATCTAATGAGTGTGCACCAGGTCATTTGTTTGATATGTCTTTATATTGAATATCATTAATACTCATCTAATTTTCCAGTTGCTTGAGGTATGTAATGGATGAATGTGGGATATGAATGAGAGTCTTATGTCATTGAACCCATACCTCATTGACTTCTGATGGAGGTCCTTCTTGGTTATGTTGTGTTTTGTTGCCTTGAGTTGCATGGAATGATTTTACCACTGACCTTTCAGTTCTTATCTGTTACAAGACACCATGCTTTGCTTACCATGGATGGAGTATGAAGTGTTGCAGGTATCATTCTGGATGTTCCTGGTGCCTCAAGTTGAACATATTTTATTTGGTTTTTGAGTGCCATTATATACAAGGGATATTTCTATAAGGGAAATTCCAAATTTCCAGTCAGAATTAATCTTTGTCATCTGAATGTATGAATGTGCTGTGTTGGAAAGGGCTGTTATATGTACTCTTCCCAAAATTGATTAATTTGCAATGCCATAACACTACCTATAAAATTCTAAACAGTATCAAAATGTAGTTCCACTGCAACTTTATAGACTGTGATTGTCATGTGACTGGCTGATTTACGTATTCAAAATCATTTTAATATAATGTACTCAATCCTCTGTATTTCATACAATACACTGTAATTAATTTTTCAAATTACATGTCTGTATGATTTTATGATTCTTTTCTCACTTTAATTATTTCTGTATTTTTGCATGTATAAGGTTTTGAAAACTTTTTCACAGATTCATTTATAGTCTGAAATGTATGTAAAGGCTTACAATTGAAAGGCTTGCAATAATCATGTAGCTTCTACTTTGTAGATTAAGTAGTTTAGGTTATTCACTGCTTTTACTGTAGCATGTCAGAAAATTGTGCAACAGAAAACTGGTACTATAACTTCTAGCCCATTCCATTCTGGAGCACACATCAGTCACCAGAGTAGATGCAACTATAACCTTCAAAGACCCACATCTCTGTTAAGTAACTCCAGTAATAATGAATATGTATGCCGGTTCAATGCCAACAACAAAGTTTCAGGGGTAGCAACCACTTCATCCATTCACAAGGTCATCTTGCAATCCCAACAAACCAAAGTCACCATGGTGAGTTATTAGAGTTTATCCATGGAAAATTCTACAGCTAATACAGCTCAAAGATATCTATAATTTTGTAATTTTATACTCATTTTTGTATTTCGAGTATTTTAATTAATTTTCACTTAAAAAGCCTATTGCTTTTAAGTATATGTTTTGGCACTAAATTATTAAGAAGCCTAAATTACTTCTCACATGGTTTCTTGTTCACATACTTATTGCTGAATAAGTGAATAAAATCTCTTTTAGTTCATAAAGTTAGAATTCACCTGATAATCTTGTACATTTTATAATGATTTGCAGGATGACTACATTAAATGTTCCTTGAACATCATGAATCTTCATTTGAATACTAAGACCATCATATTATTTTTTAAACAGAAACAAGTTGCAACAGTAAAATCCTTTAATATAAGTTGACATTTTTTTTAACCACACTTTTAAAAAAATTAAGTGTTATGTAATTGTTTGTATTCCATTGTTGGGTGGGTTTTTTAATAAAAATAATGTTCAGTCCATGCAACAATAAAAAAAATTAATTTATTTCTTCAATAATAAACAGAGATTCTAGAATTAGTATTATCTGTAACTTGCTAATACTTAACTTAGATAAAGAACTTCCTTGCTAATGGATCAAGTAATTGAACACACACATTAACTCATTACTAACAAGATAAAAAAAACTTCCTTGCTAATGGATCACGTAATTGAACACGCACATTAACTCATTACTAATAAGATAAAAAAACTTCCTCGCTAATGGATCAAGTAATTGAACAGACACATTAACTCATTACTAACAAGATAAAAAAACTTCCTTGCTAATGGATCACGTAATTCAACACGCACGTTAACTCATTACTAATAAGATAAAAAAAACTTCCTTGCTAATGGATCAAGTAATTGAACAGACACATTAACTCATTACTAAGAAGATAAAGAACTTCCTTTCTAATAGATCGAGTAATTAAATAGACACAGTGACTCATTACTATCACTGATATGAATCACTGTGATTACTCAGTAACTCAAACTGCTCATTCATTACTAATTGTTTCAATGCTTCACTTCACTTATACTGTACTTACCTTTTACCCACTATACAAGTTATTCATATTGTATCATATGTGCCTTCTAACAAATATCTAAATTAAAATATCTAAAATAAAGCTTACAACGTTATCCTATTTTTGGATTGTGAAGATCCTTGAACAATCCTAATTCACAAATAGAACAATACACGAAATTGTCCATTCATCATGTCATTTTTTGGATCTTGTTGTTTTTCTTCTCCGAGGATTATGGTATACAGATGGGATGGCCCCTTGTCATCACTTGTTGTTTTGTCACTCGAGGAGTTCTCCCTGGGTAGGTAGTTGAGCAAATCTGCTAATGGCTCTGTCCTTGTTGATCCTTTGTAAGTGGTCTCAACAGAAATTTTTGGCTCTTATGCAGAATGAATTCCCAGTGACAAATTCTTCTCTGGAGTTACCTAGTTGGCTGTTCACTTGTCAACATAATTCCAAAGACAATCATGGTCAACGACCTTCGATTGGGACTGTCTGTTCTTTTGGATTCTCTAAACCATATCATTAGTTTGTTTTGGTACAATGAAGGGTCTTTCACAACACATACCTAACTTTGAAGTTCCTCCTTTCTTGTGACAATAATTTTTCAACCATACCTTGTCACCTCAGTGAAATACAATCTTATCAGGATTAACATCATAGTGACTTTTTGTGTTAATACAAGCTTATTTAAGTCTTTTCCTGTGTAAAATCATGTATGACATCTTTATTCTTTAATATGCATTCTTCTTTTATTTCAGTTACCCATATATGTGGTCTAAAGAAGCCTCCTACAACAAGGGTAGCTTCCAGCTTTTTTCTTGCTGGGGCTTTATGTTCATTTGCTGTTCATATCAACCACTCTTCTTTCTTCATCTCTGGAGGCAATTTTCCACCTTTCATTATCAAGTTAGGTTGAACAGCTGTAGATGTAGAACCACTGTTGATTGACATACTGCAGGCTTTTCCATCAATAAATCCATGAACTTGCAGACTGTTTTCCTTAATTTATGAACTTTCCTATCTCACTTGAGGAAGATGGAGAATTCTAAGCTGAAACCTGCCTTATAAATCCAGCAAATTCCTTTTTGATTTTTGTTTTTTTTATGTCAAGTCAGTTTAGATCTTTGTTGTTTCATTGATCTGGTTGGTCTCATTAGACTCATCCTTATTGAATTGTCTCCTTGTCTTATTAACAGCTGTTGATTTCTCGCAGTCTTGTACGTAATGGCCAGGGTTTCCACACTTATAACAGTTCTCTCTTTCTGGTATCCTTTGGGAGGAGTTCTCATTTCATACAGTGTTTTGTCTGCAATTCTGGACAATATGTACTTTAGAGTTACATTTGAAACGCTTCTTATTTTGAAAAGTTATGGTTTACTTCCTATATTCTATGTGACCAGTTGTATAGCTAATACTTTCAATTCTTCTAGACCATCAATGTGGGGAGTTGGTGTTTCAGTACTACTTGATCTGCTCTTATAAATTCTGGATAGTTTCTTTAGTTGTTTATCTACTACTTTCATGGATTCGAGTTCCTTTGCCAACTAGAGGCTTCCTTGAAAGGTATACACCTATTTTGCTTCAGCCTAATTCTCATATCCTATTCTGTTATGGCATTTAAAAATTGTTAATGTGCCAATGTATCTATTATTTCACACAGAGCATCTGGATAAGGTTTTAGGCAAACCTTTCCAAAGCCTCTGCAAGTTTTGTCAAGGACTCTTCTTTCCTCCTTATCGAAACTTAGCTCTGAGCACTTTCTTCTAGCATATCACTACAAACCTGCTGGATAAAGTAGCTACCAATGCTTGATAGCTGTTACAACTGTCAGATCATTTAATGTAGTATAGCTGGTCCTTCTAAATGGATGGCAAGATGGGAAACTTGTTGTTCACCTTTTCATTCTGGAAATTATTTAGAACTGAGACTGACATTCCTCTTGTGGTACATTTCTATCATAGACCATTGGTTTCTCAACTGGGTGGTGTTGCTGAATTGGCCAACTAAATTTCTAAACTAGATTTGGTAATAATATGGCTGGATTAGTCCAAGGAGGATAGTTATTTAGTCAACTATTTGAATAACTGTACATATTGAAATTTAACTTTAATATATGTTATATAATAAAGTTTAATAATGTACCCTTTGTGTTTTAGTGTAAAACTGTATGTCTCATACCATAACCACACAACAGACTCAAAATATATTCCATAACTTTTCTATATCGGACCTGGCTGCTAAGTTTTGGCTGGCTCCTAGATCTGAAAATATTTGTCAAGGCCTAGATTACAACAAGATTAAATAAGTATGGGTGAAAAAGAAGATAAGAGACAGAATAAAACATCTGGAAAATTAATAGGTAAATGCCAAGAGTAAACCAACCACACCTCTTTCTGCATCTGCCCATGACTTCCAACCTAAAACAACATTTAAGACAAGTTATGGAATAGGAAAACCTCTTTTGTCTACATCTATTACCACTACAGCCATGCTATTTGTTACTGTAGAAAACTTATATGGATTCTTGCAATGGATGAAAGTAAAATAAAAATAATCACTGATATATAGATAGGCCAAGCAGATTGTTTCAGAATAGGTCTAATCGAATCATCACTATAATACTGTAGAACGAACAAAGGCTTTTGGTGTGCCTAACTTAACTTCACTGCTGTTTGTACCAGGAAATGGGAGTTATGTTTATTTACTTTCACAGCAACGAGTGCATGCTAACGATCACGTGATATCAACAACCATTTGATAGTATTGCCTGAACTAAGTGCCTTTGATCCTGTCCGAGTCTAAACATGGGCACTGATTGGTTGAATTGGGAGAAAGAAGAAAAACAAAATGGCATGAAATTAGTAACATGTTGTACAACCGCAGCACTTCATTCCTGAAAAAACATGAAATGTTGAATCTGCCATTAAAATTCTAGACAAAATTTGATTTTGGACTCAAAGAATGTGAAAATAGTTGTGGACTTCCAAGAATCCAGAACTGTTCTAGGTTCAAGTTCTATGTAGCACATCCCTACACACAAATAAAATGAGAAAAAATACTAGGTGCCACGATGAAATTTTTAGTCGTCATGATTTGCCAAGGCCTGTTGTATCCTTCTATACAATGCATATATTTTTATCGCTTTTGTCTTCAATCAGGTCTATTTACATTTTTAATTTTACATTAAATATTAATTTTTTTTTCAATTCTTCTCTTAAGTTCATGTTTCTTTTTTTTCATTTGATTTAATTTTTTTTCTTGTCTGTTTCTTCTAGCTCTTTTAATTTTGTCTCTCTGTTCTTAACATTCTTTTCTAGAAGTTTGAAGGTTAATCAAAGTTGTATTTTATTTTCACCAAAATAATCCTTCATTTGCTACAAGCTATGTTCACTTTGACACAAGCTGTATACCTAAGTTCACAATGTTTCAACAGAAACTCTGAAACTAATGGTGTGCATGTTTAACTGATAAATACAAAATGTACTAAGAGAATTTTCTTGCTAATCGCTGAAGTAACTGAATAGATATGATAAATCCTACTACAAACAATAATCTGAATCTGTTGCTGATTGTTTAATAACTCTTAACTGCTTTACTTACTTGTACTCCCCCTTCTACTCACTATATGAATTTTCCAGATCACAATATCGTGTGCACTCTAGCAAATGTCTAAAATAAAACATTGAAAATAAAGTTTGCAACTTATTTTATTTTTTAATTGAACATTGCTTTAGTAATATTGTAGCATAAGTTTTATATATATTTGCCATAGTTTGATGTTTTAATGAACACAGTTCATTTAACATCCTGTGGCTAAATGGAAATATATTTTGTATGAATATTTTATAATAATAAACTATGGAGTCTGGAATAGTATTCTTTTAATGTTAGGCAGCATATATGATATGTTGACAATTGTTTGTTTGGACTTTTCATGTTTATTTTTGAATAAGGTTTTAAGATCAATGACACAGAAAGATCTTTGGTAAACCAAGAGGAGAAGTAGAAGTCCATGCACCAAATATAATGTCAACAATAAAAGCTTATTTACTTCGGAGAAGTACAAAATATCTGTTTAGACATTATAAATGTAAACATGTAGAAGTTATGATAGTTATATAAAGTTCTTTTCTTGACATAACAAATAAAACAAACATGAAAAAATCACATTATTAGGTAAATTTGATTGTGTTGTATATAATGCAGGATTTAGTTTGAGGATTATAGTGAAATTATAGCTACTAAAGACATATATAGTTACATATGAAAGAAAAATAGTAATGAAATAAGTAAATATAGAAATTATATATTCCATTAATACTTCATTCAGTTGTTATTTGTAAAGAGAAAATATTAAAATGTTCTACGATTTTAAAGATAAATATAAAAACATTAGAAATATAAATATTTTAACAAAAAGCTGAATGGAATTATGTCTGAATGTGTAGAAAGTTTCATTTTAAACAAAATTCAAGAAGCAAGTTCATGAGTAAATATATGATACTAATGCCAATAATTCTTTACAGAAGGAACTTACTTTGAAAAATCCAGAATGCCCATTTAATATGGAAGGTGTGACTGATCAAAGTATAACGAAAGACTATTCAAGAGATCTTCGAACGCCAAGTTCTACTTCAATCTCATGCCAAAAAACACTTAAAAGATCTAATCTCTTTGTGAGTTGTGGATTTGTTTCCTTTAATATTGTCATTATGTCCATTATTGATGTTAAAATTACTTGAGTGTATTCACACAGACTGTGGAGAAAGTTTATTTGTATTACATTCTTGTTAGAAAATTGGAGTAATGTGACATTTTTCATGTGGAATACATATGAATATCAAGTACTAAATTCAGGATACAAAAGTGCTAAAAGTATACCTATATGTATTATGTATAAACATGTAATACATTTTTTTTTTTGGATTTCTATGGTCAAATATTATTTTTCGAAATCATAATGAAATAGATTAGATTCTAGCTGCCTTAAAATTAAGTGGTGTATTATTTATTTTAATTACAGCTACCAAAATAATCAAAGATAATGAACAACAGTAATGTATATTTACTTCATTCTGCATTATTAACTTTAAAAAAGCACAGTATTCAAAAAGTTGTGCAAAGCACCGAGATAGTTTACTATTCAGTGCCTTTATTAAATATGTTTGTGTGAAATAAAGTTGTAAAAATTGCCAAAGAGTGTAAATGAAATTTGCATAAAAGTGCTTGTCTATTTCATTCTCATAGATTTTAAAAAAAGCTGATGAGGGTAGAAAGGACAAGATTGAAGAAGTTGGTAGTGGGAGACGTATTCCTTTGAAACAGGTAAGGTTTAGAGGAAAAAACGAATCATATAATGTGTGGAATGGACTAATGCTTAAAAAGGTTTGTACATTTTTTGTTAAGTAAGAAAACTAAGCTGCCACCATAAAGACAAGTACTATCATGCATTATTTACTTTCTTCAGTAGTATTTTAGGGAATGTTTTTTCCTTATAATGATCATGGTAGGTCTATATATCTTCTAACGGTTCCTTTTCATAAACCTAGATGGCCAATATTTTTATTCACAAATATTCTTATTTTTATATAGATATTTATGTTTATTTAGTCAATTTCATTTCCCTATATAAACACTTTAAATGTATTGAAATCATATGTTCACCATATGAAGGCCTTTTTTAATGTCCATAATGTGGTTATGGCAAACATTCTTGTACTCTGCTCAAATCTATATTTTTCAAATTTTGTACAAGATGATTGTCACCTGACCTTGCTTAATTATCAGAATTTATATCAGATAAGTTTCATACATGTACTTAAAACTAATGAAATGTTAAATCTGAAAGAAGTAATAACTTCCAAATTATTTACTATTGATGTTCTGTAAAGTTTATTTTTGAGATTCACCTATCTTCTAACTATTTTGCTTATACTAGCCAAACTAATATATTAGCTGTAAGAAGCATAAAGTTTTTTCAAATTCTTTGCAAAGTAATAAAAGTAACATGCAATATATAAATATTATTATACTTCTCACTACTGGTATATGATGTGTACTAATATTAAAGAAATGGAGAACTATTTGAGATATTTTTGTCACCAATTTTTATAATTTTTTTTCAACATTTTTCCAATGATATGTTGACAAGTAAAAGCAACTTCTGTAAAATTTAATATTTCATAAACTTTTCAAAAAGTATAGTTATATTGTAATGTAAAATCTTTTAGCTGTCATTTTATGAGCAGGTATTAATACTTTTCAGCAATACAGTACTTTTGCCATTTTATTGTTCTATTTTCTTTCACTTTCATGAGACAGTTGGTGAAAATGAATGAGATATGGTATATGTTAGGATTATATACTTGCTTTCTAGAGTTAGTGAATTATCAAAATATGCAAATATGATGTCTTAGGATTTGTTGTTGCTTATTCCTTATGTGGTTGGTTTTAAAGATATGCTTTGTTGAATATTAACATTTCTGTTTGCATATAAAGTCTTAATTCAGTCAATTTAGCTTTTATTTAATGAATTATTTTTCTCAATATTTTTTTTCTTAATTCAACTATATGTTTGTTTGTTTGAAGTTAAGCACAAAGTTACACACGGGTTTCAAAAACCTGGTTTTTAGCATTGTAAGTCTGCAGACATACTGCTGTGCCACTGGGGGACTCACCTGTATGCTGTGAATTAAACTTTATAGTTAATCTGTTAGGTTGAGGCAACCATGTTCTTTATGGTTAACTAGCCCTTGAATATTAAGGATAGTTTACTTCTAGAATTGTAGTAAATGAATTGGACTTAATATTGAGACCTGTATCTAACTACTAAAATTTGATAACAACTTGAGCAATAGTAATATGCTTCATTTTTCTTTTATGTAAATAGAAGATAAAACATTTCAACAGAAGCTACTCATTGTATCTTCTTGATTTCCTTAGTAAATTAAAACTATTACTTTTTGTTAATCAAAAAGAAGTCATTATTTGTACTTTAAAGGACAAGCTCTCTATGTTGTATAGATTATACAATTTTGAATTATGTATTTGTTTTTATTTTTTATTTCTTGTAAATTGTTTAAGTTTCTTTTTTGCCTGCTAAAATTTCATAAACAAATCTAGCCAGTCATTGATATTTGGCAATTTGTTAGATCTTAATGTTAAAACTTAGCAGATAGTCTACATTTAATAATCATTCTAATAGGTGTACAATTAAATGTGTGTAAAGAAGTTGATTTTATTGTTTAACCCTCAAATTTCACCTTTACAACACTCAATGTTAAGACCTGACTAAAACACTTGAGGTGAAGTAACTCATTTTCTATGTAAAATACATAGGGAACCCAGTAACACTATGATAAATTCTAATATTGAGGGCATTTTGCTTACATTTTTTTGTCTGACTATTGGTTATTAGAGACATACAATTAGTTTGATATGTAAATAGTTTAAAATAATATTTAAAAAGTCAAGGTATGAACCATGTCAGTATTTACAGTATTGAGTTAAGCTAGTGAATTACTAGTAAACTTGGTGAATTGAACTTTAAAAACTAAAATATCATAAAAATGATGAAACTTGTTTATATTTAGCATTTGTTTTCTGCTTTCTTAAGGATTTTGTTTTATATATTTTTATAACTCTTTCAGGGCTATTTGTATAAGCATAGTAGTAAAACTCTAAATAAAGAATGGAAGAAAAAGTATGTAGCTTTAACAAGTGATGGAAGATTAACATATCATCCAAGTTTTCATGTGAGTATTTCCCATTCAGGGTATTTTCTTATTTGCATTTGGGCAAACAACAATCATCAAGATACTTATTTATAGATTTTAATAGTTTTTCATTTAATTTTATGATGGTTTTTATTCCTTAATGCAAATATCAACATAAATTGCTTATAATTCTAAGTACTTATTAATATGAATTACAATACCGCTTCAGAAAAATGTTTTATGTTTGAGTAGTATGCTTTCTTATTTTCCAGAAGAACAAAACAGTATTGTGAAATCAATGTACAGTTTTTATAATGCTAAATGCCTATATTACTATAATGAATTACAGAAGCCCATAAAATGATAGAAGTACTCATCATGAAACTAAAGGTTTATCCAACTTTCCAGATACTAAAAATAGTTCTTTGTTATCTAACCTTCTCATTGCTAATTAAGTAACTGCTTTTTTTAACACATAGAATATCAATACCTTTTTATACCTACCTATCTATTAAAATGCCTTTGAACCCTATAATGATAAAGGGTTCCTAAAAAAATATCTCGGTTAATGAATATTCTTGGATTTTCACCTAGTAATATCAAGTCTGTAACAGTAGTAAGCTGTTTCAAAAATATTTGACAGCTGAAATTTCATTTAATTATAACTATGAAGACTTAGTTGATAGCAGGTATCTCTAAAGCTAGATGATTACTGGATAAAAGTATTTGAATGTGTTTTGTTTAAATAAAAATCTTAGAATTTCTACAGTTAGTACAGAATTGAGATGCTGTTATATTGCTACTGTTGCAATACTTTAATATTAGAGAAGTGAGATTTAAACATTTGTAGCATTGCAATGATATTTTTCTTGAGGTTTAAATAGTGAGACTGATTCTTTTTCCATATTACATTATAGTCATATTCATTGCTATTTTTCAGAACCTAAATTACTTCAATGTAACAATTACATTCTTATTTATTACTGTATAATTTGAAGAAAATCATTAGTTTTGTTTTTATAAACTTGAGTGGTTCAGATGTAAACATTTATATTAGTTGTCATAATAAATAGCCTACATGATTACCTGTGTCTAATTGTTAATTAGTTAATATTATACTTAGGTGACCATACATCCAATCACCACATCCTTTCTCTAATTGCTTAGACTAGAATAAATGTTCTTGTTCTTCAGACTGTATACATGTAAAAGTGATTTACTTTATGTACATATATACTGTTCATAAAATTTGTTTGCTGAAGTGATTGAATAATTTAAGAATGTTTTCGATGCCACTTGTTTTCCAGCACTTGATCCTTACTCATGAAATAGCCAGTGATACCAAAGAATGCATGAAATTGTAAGGGAATATCTAAATTATTTCTTATGATGCTTGAAGTGAACAGTACTTTTCTCGGCCCATATCTCTTGAAATGTTTTGCATCTTGCTTTCTGGTGTTTTGCCAATCCACTGGCTGTTTAATTAAAATCTAACATGCATGAAGAACGTGATCTTATGTTTTTTTTGTTTCTCAGGACTACATGGATGATACCCGTGGTAAAGAAATTTACCTGGTGCAAGTCACAGTAAAAATTCCTGGACAAAAGCCAAGAGGTTCTCATACCCAACTTTCTTCAGAATCATCATCACCCCTTCATGTAAATGAATTAGCTACAGAACTTGCTAATCTCACAGTTGGTGGGGGTAGGTTGTATTGTATGTACCTTTTCTAAATTCTTTGCTGTACAATTTTAAACTGTCACATATAATATTGAATTAGAAAATGTGCATAAAAACTTGATTATCCTAAAAACCATGTGTTTCTATCACTGTAAACATTAAATCATGAGTAATGGTTGTATGTAAGTTAGATCACAAGGTAGTTCTGACTAACTGAGAATAAGAAAATGATGTGAAATAGAATGTTGGTGGACATCTGTAGATAGATGATGAAGTTGTATTGTTAAATGATGGCTGCATGTGGTTAGTTACTAGATGTGTCATGTGAAAACCATAATTGAGATAGTTAATTGTGGTTACATAATCATGTCACTTAAAGATCTTTTGTTTTTTAATGGTTTCCTAATTCATAAATTCAGATCTTATTGTATTGTTGCTTTATGGAAATGTATCAAAATGAATTTTGTTTATACAGTTTAGGCCTGAGATTTTAATTTTAGAAAGTAGATTGAATGCTTTGTAACACATTCAGAAATTCTGACTTTGTTTCTAGCAAAAAGGAAAAAGACTTGTATTTATATATGCAAAGATTGATACAGATATTGAAAAATCAAGAAGATTTAACATATATTTATAATAAAATAAATAAAATTTTAGACTTTTTTGTAGAAAAGTTAATAAATCTGACTTTCACTCCTCCTAGCAAGCTCAACTGCTTTTTGCATATTACTTATTAATTGTATCATACATTATTGAGTGTACATTATAAACTTTCATTTAAATAATGAAATAAGTTGATCACTTAACTGTCAAAGGTGATGTGAGTCTAATGCCAAAGTTATAGTTTTGTAACATTTATGTGCTAGGGTTTTTTGTGTCACTAAAGTATATTTCAATATTTGGAATATTTGTTGTACCCTGATCAAGATTGAGGAGCACTACATTATTTTAATAAGAACACTTGTGTAGGTAAACTGTTACATTTTTAGTGAACTTTGTAACTCATTGGGCTGTACAGGTTGGTTTAGTGAATATTTGTTTGATAATATTTGATTTTAACTCAATGTTAGTTTGCTTCTTTCTGAAAAAGAAAAAAGTCAGTCATGTTGCATTGAGTACTAATGTAGGACAATTGGCCAAAATTGCTTTGAATAACTAAAGTGTGCATTTCATTAAATGAGTCCTGGAGTATAAGTTTACTTTGTACAAAATAATTACTTGCTTTTAGTTATCTTAATGCTGTTAATACCTTCAAGTTGTTAATTATATGAAAGAAAAAATTTGAATAATTGTTAAACTGAACAGCATGTAAAACTGACTGTAAGCAATATAACTTCACCATAACAACAACAAAATATTTAGCTTCAGTAACTATGTGGTATTTTTTGTCTTAAAGCATATGGTTTTAAAGTTAAATAATAAAAAATACCATGAAATTTACTACTGTTTAAATAATATTATTAGTGCTGTTATTACCACAAAGCATTTTTGCCATACAAGAATAAACTATAGGATCTATTCTTATCTCATTGCTCGGATGCAGATCTATAATTTTCCTCCTCTTTCAGCTACTTAATTTAACCTGACATCCTTAGATATCTTATGTGGTAACTCTTAGGCCTATCCTGAAATCGTAATTTGTTATGGATTTGCATTAACGTTGTATGATATGACTTGGAAACAGAATTGTTATGAAAATAAAATAATATAACTTACAACATTTACTTGAACATTTTCTGTTGTGTACATTTGTGTTTACTATGAAAGCATGTGACATGCTTCTTATTTATATTGTGCACACATTAAGGTATTAGTCACAAACATTGTTGTCCATAACATAGTTGTGGTCTGATTAGAGTATTAAAAATGTAGTATAATAAAATTAAGCTTTAACTGCTAATGTTAAAAGAAATCATTATGCTTAGTGTTTAAATTACATTAAGCAAAAAGTGGCTGGTATAGCTTTTATGTAATATTTTTAATATCCCAACATTGTTACTTTTGATTTCACAGCTATTTTAATAAATAGCACCTTTGTATTTAGATGTTAATTTTAAGTAAAAGTTCTTGAATTAGTTAAAAACGTATATCCTTAAATGGATTTTTCTAGATAACATTTGAACAAGTTTATATATCTTTTTCATAAGGTCTCATCAGAATAATGGGGATTTTGGGAATGACTCTGTTGTTGTTGTTGTTGTTTTTTGCAGATCTTGAAAAATAAAATGGATTTGAAAAGTAAAAAATAAAAACTTCAACTTTGTTATAGAAACTTCTAGCTGTGCTTAAAATTCAAGCCTTAATATGTCACATTAAAGGTTTTGTTTTATGATCAGTTCTTAACCCATTGACCACTGATTCACTGTACAGCATATGGTCTGCCTCTGGGAGTTGAATGAGAATGTGCTATATACAGCATATGGTTTACAAAAATTCTTCACATGCTTAAAACAGCCACAGTCAAAGGGTTAACCTTCTTGTCTTCATTGCAAATCTGTTTTTTTTTCTTGAAATTTTTAAACACTGTGCATAAAATACCTTTTAACAAATATAGTTTCAACTATACTATCCTACCTACATACTTTACAGGCTTGTTAAATGAAAGTGAAATTCATCTCTCACTTTCAGTGCCCAACACCAATCCTTTACTTGGAAAATTAAATGTTAAGAAATGGCACCGAAGAATGAAGAGTGATGGACCTAGAAATATAGAGACCATGGATGGTAATTAATTTTTTGATGCTGTTGATGCTAATTTTTGTGAGATGGTAGTACAAAGTTTAAATTAATACTATAGTTTTATAATAAAAATTCAATTTCATAATAGAGTACTTTATAGTTCATGTTACTTTGTAATTATTTAGTCATGCATTTTTCAACATTATTGTATTTATTACTATACTGGTACTTTGTAGAAACATTGTTAATATGTTATCATCTTGATGTTTTTCACATTTCAGTAAGACGAATGAGTAGTTAAAGTCGTATTTTATGTTTATTACCTAATGTCTGGTATATAACTTAAGAAACATACTTGCATGAGGTTTTTGCATCAAGTCTTAATTATATTTGTGGTTTTAGATTTTGGTTTTATAATTCTTATTACTTCCTGTGTGTTAATTAGCAAAAAAAATATTTATACTAATAATTTTTATTTATTTTATTAAATTCTTTTGATATACCAGATTATTCTGTATATACACTCTTGGACATTATTGTAAAATGTGAACAATATTTTATCAGATCCACTGTATCTTGGTCCTGTACAAACTCAGAATATCTGAAGGATTACTGAACAGTTATATTTATTAAGAACAAGATAGTATATGTTAAATGAAATTACATTGTATAAACTTTTAATTGAAACGTACAGATTAACATATAGAAGTGTTTTTATTTTGCAAGAAACAAGCTGTTTTTTGGTATGTCCTATGCATTATATAAAGTCAGTATCATAAAAGTAGTTTTATGTACAGCCTTTTCAAATGTATATCTGAAGCCTGAACCTTACTCATTCCTTTGTACACAACTTAATTTCAATATAAACAATTATTAAACACTTCTTTTAATAGCCAAATATAAATTTCCAGTAAGAATATCCTTTAATTGTATTTGCATTTTGTCATGTCTGTTGTAAGTGAACGCTGTGAGGCCTTTTACCCTTAATTTTTCTTTTTTTTTCACAAATTACACCAGCTTATGCTAGTTGGAGTTGAAATCGTAATATTGAGCTAGTTAAAGCATAGTATTTCAAAATATTTTCATTTTAAACTGCAATATTCCATCACATATGGCTATCCTAAACTTCATATTGCTTTGCTTGCATTATGTAACATCCTACTTAATCTCAATTATTGTATTTCATTATAATAAAATTAAATATCCATTTATTAGGAAAAAAGTCTAAATACAACTTAATGAGACAATATTACTAAGAGAATGTAGTAGGTACAAAGCAGTACCTTTAACCATCAAGGCTATGATTATGAAAGAAAAACCCTCTATTCCATCAGAAAGCCATTTGAGAGATAGGTTTTTGGAAATTGTCTAAATACCTTTATACACCAACTGGTGATGGAACCTACAATAGAGGAAGCCATATTAGATTTAATATTAGCATCCAATGTGAATATGATAGACAGAGTTGTGGTTGATGAGCATTTAAGTACAAGCACTATTAGGTGTGGGATTTTACTACATGTAGAATTGAAGAAGAATAGCACCCTGATTCGAAATTGCAGAAAAGCCAATTTTGATACAATGAGACATGATCTGGCTTCCGTAATTGGACTAAAGAGTTGGGAGGGGATCTCAAACAGATGTGGGAAGCATTTAGGGAAAAATTTATATACATACAGAACATGCATATTCCCTACAGAAAAAGAAGGGCAATGGAGCGAAATAAGCCAGTATTGTTTAGTAAAGGTTTAAGAGATCATATTAGGGATAAACATAATAAATTCCAGAAATTTAAACTTACTGGAAATAATAAGGACTTAGAGGACTATAGGAAATCGAAAGAGCTGGTTGAAAAGGAAGTTAAAAGGGCAAAAACTGTATATGAAAGAGGGTTGGCTGAGATCATTTTATCAAACAATAAGGAATTTTTTAGGTATATAATGGGTAAGCAAAATGTTAGAATGAGGATTGGACCTCTAAAAAATGATAGTGGAGAACTGATCTTGGAAGATTACGAGATGGTTAACTTATTAAATTTTATGTTCTCTTCAGATTTTATGAAGGAAGATACAAGTATTATGTCTCAACCAGAGCACTTAATGTATGGGAAAAAATATTGATGTGAAAGATGTCATTTTAAGTTCTGAAATTGTAAGAGAAAAGTTAGGAAACCTCAAAATCGATAAATCTCCATTACCAGACAACTTTTATCCTAGAGTTTTAAAATAACTTAAATATTTTACTTGTCAATCGCTAGCTAATATTTTTATAGGTCATTGAGTAGTGGAAGAGTTATAGAAAATTGGAAGTTGACTTATGTTAGTCCAATATTTAAAGGAGGTGATAAACATTGTACACACAATTATAGGCCAGTTAGTCTTACATCAGTAGTTGGAAAAGTTTTGGAGAGTGTGATTAAAGATGCATTGCAGAGTTCACTTAAAGCAGTTTGAAATAGTGTCAAAGAACCAGCATAGTTTCACTAAGGGAAAGTCTTGTTTAACAAATCTTCTGACATGTTTTGAGGATGTTACTGCAAAAGTTGATGAAGGAAATATTGTGGATTTGGTTTAACTTGATGTTCAGAAAGTGTTTAATAAGATGCCTCACAAAAGACTTGTCACAAAGATTAAAGCTGTGGGTGTAGGGGTGAAATGTTATTAAATTGGATAGAAAATTGGCTGGAGAGTAGAAAGCAGAGTAGTAATAAATGGAGTTAGATCTGACTGGATCACAGTTACAAGCAGTGTGCCTTAGGGCTCAGTGCCAGGTCCTCTGCTGTTTGTAATTTATGTTAATTATATTAACTCTGAAATGACTACAAAATTTTGAAGTTTGCAGATGACATTAAGATTTTTGGGGTGGCTAACTGTATCAAAGAATGTTTCAGACTTACAGGGAGATTTAGATCATTTGATACATTGGGCCAATACATGGCAGATGATGTTTTAACTATCTAAAATGTAAGGTGATGCATGTAGGCTTTCACAATTTAAATGGAATGCATTAAATACTGTGGTTGCTGAAAAAGTTCTTGGTGTTGTGATTGAAAAATCATTTAAGTCATCTAAACAGTGTATTGTAGCTAGCAATAGGGCTAATAAGATTCTGGCTAGCATCTATAGAAATATTGAATACAAGACAAAAGATTTTATTGTTTCACTATATAGATCACTTGTAAGGCCTCATTTAGAGTACTGTGTACAGGTTTGGGCTCCCTTTCTCAAGAAGGACATTGAATTGTTGGAGAAGGTTCAGAGAAGAGCCACTAGAATGAGACCTGGAATGGTGGGATTGTCCTATGAGGAGAGACTAAAATCTCTAAAATTGTTTTATCTGGAGAGGAGAAGGGTCAGAGTGTATTTCATTGAAGTGTTTAAGATTATTAAGGATATTGATAATGTAGATCCATCAAACGTTTTGTGTTTAACAGTGAAAACAATAGGACAAGAGGGCATAAATTAAAATTTTTACAGTCGTCTGCAGTTTAAATTTTCTGGAGTCGTCTGCAGTTTAAACAGTATTACTTTTCAAACAGGGTGGTTGGTGTTTGG